AGCTATCCTGATTTTAAAAATGCAGATTAATTTGAGGTGGGTGCGGCATTTGAATTTGATTATTACTAAGTATTTTGTGTTAGGATCAACCATTTTCCTAAGGAAACACCCTCCACCCTGAGTAAAAAAAACTTCCCACACCTTATCTTCAAACCCCCCAAAATAATGCCTGTAAAACTATCAGAAATTTTTAAAAGTTGGATCAACTTTCAGACCACTTTTGTCTTCAAGGCAGGGGTTACAGAGAAAAGTATAGGAGTGTCAAAAGCAGAGTTTCTGTCTTGAAAATCAGTTTTTCCCACCTAAAAATGTTTTGCTGAAGATTTCCAAGCCATTTTAATTCTAAAAAGGCCAAGATCAGGAATATACATGAAACGCTGAGCTACAGAATTTAATTTCCACTTCAAGGTTCTTCAGTAGAGATAAACTAAATTACTCCAAACAGCTGTTCAGAGTAAATTTCATTTCATTGAAAGTGAAGCATTTTATGTAGCTAGTTTTCATCCAGACAGTACTAAAGAGATGGACAGGCTTTTCCATATTTTGTTGCCTAGTGCCTTGCTCAGAAATCACTACACATGTTAGGTTCAAACTCCCATTTTGTAAAAAGCTCTCCCTTAAGTCAGAGCAGGTCTTGAACTTGAAGCTGCTGTATCCCACCCATACCAGTCCACTCACTGCTGGGGATTCAGCACTCACATGCATCTCTTGCCAAACTGCAACATTTGAACAGAAATTCTGTTCAGGCAAAAGCATTCAAAAAGTGTTGGTTTTCATTCCAGTGTGGAATTAAAATCAAACTTTGAAACCTCAGAATTTCTACAAAATGGAGTTTTCCTCCAGTCAGCTCAAAGGGCTGCTTTGTGTCTTGAGATCTTGCAAAATAACTAAATCACAGTTCTGTGTCTGGGACCATGTTTTGTAACTGTATTTCTGGGAATTTTTAAGACACTGCACAAGCTTGCAATACATCAGTGTCGATATATTTAACTTGAGTTCAGGTAATAGCGAATGTATTCTTTCTCTGCTCTGTGGCTTTGACTAGCAGTTGAATAGGCAGCAGCTTTAGAGCTCACAGGAGCAGCCGACAGCGAGGAAGTAGTTCTGTCAGTACTGGCTGGGCATTCTGCTGCCCTGCCATTCAAGTGTGTGTCCTCATTTCATTGCCATTGTTTTACTTATTCCTTCCAAAGATCAGTGACACTAAAGTTGTATCAAAGGCATGAAAACCAACCTAAAGAACTTGCAAGCTCTAGTGCTTTGAAGCTCCCTGGCTGAAGAGGGGCTGTACAGTATTTCCATTTTCCTTGGCACCTGAGCCCTATTCCCTCAAGGCTTAGGTAGTGTTAAGGGTTATGCAGATGTTTGTGCTTAGGTTAAACCGCATACAGGAAGCTTTCTTTTAGCTCAACTTCTCCATTGTTATGCTATATTAATAAGCTCTTTTGAAGCTTGAGAAAGGTCTGATACACCCAAATAATAGTTGTGGGTGGGGAAAGTTATTTAGGAGCACGTTTGCAAAACATGAAAGATTGTTTCATGTAATCATTTACTTGTCTGCCTGTGCAGCCAGGTTTTACTCATTCCAGTGCTCAGAAAGAGGAAGCTGCACTCCCATTTTTTAAATTACAAGGTTTCAGTCATAGGTATTTATTTATAAGTGAACATATTTATTCTTAGATTCCTGTAGTCAAGCCATAAAATGTTGGTTAGCCACTATGCAAACATACAGCTATGCTCTGAATTTTGATCCTGTCCTAATTTTGTACACAGATTTTGCAGAGAAGTCCCCCATCCTTAGTCAGTGCTGGAATGCCTGACTTGATTCTGCTCATATCATCAGGCAAAATCAAAGGCAGTTCCAGGAGTGTCTTGCTTGAGACACACGTCAATGCCAGCAGCTCTTTGCTCTTGCTATCCCCTTTAATTCTCCTGTCGGGCAGCTTGGTCCCCTCCTAAGCTTAGAGTTCAGCCTTGACAGTCCTGACACTCAGTTCTCCCCCGATGTATGCTCATTCTTGCACTTTCCAAACGGTGAGTGGGACTTGCCTAGTGTCTTAAATACTGAAAATCAGCACAGACTTTGTCCCTGCTGCTTTAGGTGGGGTTGTGCAGCTGCATGCTTTTACCCCCTGCTTCTCTGCTTCCTCCAAGCGACCATGCCAAAGCGGATGTGTCACTTTGCAGCAGGGCTGCAGGATGATGCAGTGCTTAGGGGGAAGTGGCCAAATTGCTCAGCTTCTGCTTTGATTAATTTTTTTTTTTTACATTCTTTTTCAAGTAACATTTGCAACATTGACAGTTTTTTCCCTTCTGCACAGAAATTCCCCTGCACCACAAGCAGAGCTTTCTCTTGTGCAAAAAGAGGAAGAGCTGAAGGAAGCTGAGAACTCTACTGGAGAGTTCTCAGCTGTAGAGCAAAATAATACAGCCTGCAGCAGGGTGTGTTTCTCCTCAGTTAGAGCTGAAAATGCACCCAGCTACCTCCAACTGCTTGGACTCAGGGGGAGCAATTTGAAAGACAACTAATACATCTTAGTGTTTTTGTCACTCCTTTTAAAAGATATTTGTATTTCAGATATCTGGTCTACATACTGCAGCTCTATGGCAAGGAAAAAGACTTAAAAGATCCTAAAGAAACATTTTCATCTTTATAAAAAAGTATACCCTATGATATAGATGACATATTACTCATTTCCAAGAGCAGAGTCCAGACATGCACATGCTTTTCTGTGGTCAAGAAAAAACAACAGAAAACCAAAACCAGCAAAACAGATCCCCAAATGTTCAATAAAATTACTTTCTCTGATTGTTACAGGTCATAGTTTTGTCACATAGTTGTGACCTGCTTGCAGTCAAAACACCAAAACAGCCATCACACAATGCAGTCAGTTCTGCTCCACCAGGGTGTTTCCCAAGTTCTTAATAAAGCAGATTTTCTAGAAGCAAAGAATGCACAAGGGAATAAGCAATGCAAATCTATTTACTGACAGCGACATTTGACTTTCTAAATATATTCCTCCCGTAAGAGCCATACAAACATAGTGTTTTTTTCCCCTCTTCAATATATTTAAAAGCCAAAGAGTTGGCTTTAATCTGTGATGAACTTTTAGGTATTGTTTTGATTTAAAATTTAATAATTTTAAAATGTACTAACATTTTGTTGTCAAGAGAAACTACTGGAGAACAAGAATTTATGGTTTGCATATGTCTAGAAGGAGGGATTGCCTTAAGTTCTTTTACATAAATAAAGGAAATATATTTTTGTAGGTACTGCTAGTGCATGTCATTAACCTGTGCTAGGCTGGGAATGAAAGAGCTAGAAAGGCACTTCTTCCTTGAAACCCTGTGAGAGAGTCTAGGATTTAATTACTCGCATCTGGTTGATGAACCTTTCAAGCAGAGGAAGCACATCCTGGTTCAGGATATGAGCCTTTCTCCAAATAAAAAGAATATAGTTTTCAGATGTCCTATCACCTGCCTTTGAATAGCTGATGACTCCTGCTAATTGCCAGCTGGGTTTACAATGAAATAGTGATTACAAGTGAAATTGGAGGGTCAGAGGTACTGTTTGTTCCAATTGTAAACGTTTTACCCTTATCCGTTTTAGCATTGCTCACCTTTGTTTTGAAAGGCACAGAGTAGGGGAAACAGAGGCTTGTGGCTAATGTAGTTAGTGACAGCTTCCCTTCAGAGCTTATTAAACTTTTCCTTTCCATATTGACTTATTTAGCCTGATGCACAGAGCCTGAGTTAAAGACGTGGCTGTAAGCATCTGCCAGAGCATCATGCTGCAACAACAAGCCACTTGCTTAACTGTAGTTGCAGCTTCATTTGTTTCAGTCCATTCAGGTTAGGCTCCCAGGACTTCTTACAAACAATTCCCTCCCTCATGTGAAGATGATACAGTACATTTTATCTGACTCAAAGGAAGAAAGAGACTGAGAGAGTAAATTGCCATGTATTCAATCAAATCAGTTTCAGATGTAAACTCTGGTCCTCCTTTAATCTCTTCTTGGATCAAAACTGTTCCCTTTTAAACTGGTTGTCTTTCCTAAGAAATACTGAACTAGGAGGTAGTTTTTAGAGGTAACAGGGCAGATTTTATCTGTAGGATAATAATCTGTACTCTTCCCAGAACATATCCCTATTCTAGAATAGGTCCCTGTTGTTCTACTCCCTATATGTTCCACCTAAGAATGTGTTGGTGTGTGCACTGCACCAGGTATGGAGTTTGGAGTGAACATCTTCTTTACAGCAGAAAACCAGTGTAAAGCCAGCAAGAAACTCACAGAGGAAGTTTTCCAATATATAAACCCATACAGAAGTACCTGGAGGGTGGTGGTGGTGACCATTCTGAGTCTGTTTACCCACAGGTTTTTCAATTAGTTCTAGCAGCACTCACATACATCAAAGTATGAGAATGAGTTCTGGGTTTTGGGTCTGTATGCAAGCATACATATTTGTGCCTAATTATTTTTGTACAGACTTCCTGAAGATGGCTTTGCAGGGATCCTACTAAAAATATACTGTATCTGGAGAAATAACTGGGCAAGTAGGAGTTCACAGGCTTCATTGTCTGTTTATTTATAGAAAAATTAATGTGTTCTAGTAATTAGTGGTTAAAGGAGCAGTTCTATCAAGAATACATTGACAGAGTAAATACAGGAGACTTTGGCTATTGTATTCAGGAAAGTGAAGATTTCATCTGTTATGTATTAAAAGCCTGAGAGAAGAACAATGCTACTGAATTACATTAGGTTCTTACTTGTTCAGTTCTGGCTTTTTATAAAGTAAGCAGACAAGGAAGTCCTGATAAGCAGAGACCTACATACAAAACAATATTTTGAAGCAAGAAAGCAGTGACAATTTTTATTATTTGCTGTCAGAGGAGAAGATAATGTATTGCATTCTGGATAAAAATTACAATTATTGGCAGCCTTCTGCACATATCAAACTATGATATAACTTTATGCATGCCTTCCTTCTGTTCTTTACAGATGACCCTCATAAACCAGAGGAGAAAGATGAAATTTCCAAAGTCACAATCATAAGTCTTGTCCCATTACTGGTGATTTCTGTTGCTGTGATTGTTATCTTTTATGCCTACCGCACTCACAAGAAGAGGAAACTCAGCAAGACGTGGGAGAAGAATGTTAAGCCCAAGAAGCATAAGGACTGCAGTGATGTCTGTGCCATTATGTTAGATGACGACCGCTCAGACATCAGCTCCACGTGTGCCAACAACATCAACCACAACACAGAGCTGCTGCCCATTGAGTTGGACGTTGTTGTTGGCAAAGGAAGGTTTGCTGAAGTGTATAAAGCCAAATTGAAGCAAAACACATCAGAACAGTATGAAACTGTGGCAGTCAAGATTTTCTCCTATGAAGAATATGCTTCCTGGAAAACTGAGAAAGACATTTTTTCAGATGTAAACCTCAAGCATGAGAACATACTCCAGTTCTTGACAGCAGAGGAGCGTAAGACAGATCTTGGCAAACAATATTGGTTGATCACTGCCTTCCATGCTAAAGGAAACTTGCAGGAATATCTCACACGGCACATTATCAGCTGGGAGGACCTCTGGAAACTTGGTGGGTCCTTGGCCCGAGGGATTGCCCATCTACACAGTGATCACACACCCTGTGGTCGTCCCAAAACACCAATTGTACACAGAGACCTAAAGAGTTCCAACATCCTGGTGAAAAATGATTTAACCTGCTGTCTCTGTGACTTTGGGTTATCCCTGAGGCTGGACCCTTCCTTGTCTGTGGATGACTTAGCTAACAGTGGGCAGGTAAGTTAGAAGGTTGAAGTGGGGGCAGGTATTGTACCAGTTAGCCTGTCAGTTCCTGGGCTGAAAAGATGAAAAAACCTTAAGCTTCTATGGCAGCTTTGACTTAAACTCATTTAAAATTAATGTGAATGTGTTTCTAAATGAAGAGGCTCTAAACATTACAGCAGCAATGAGATAAGTGCAATGTAAATTTTGTTATGATTGGAAATCTGCATGTGTGTGTGCTGCAACCATCCTCTCGCTTATACTAAACATGTATGAGCTTGTTTGTGGTGCTGCTGCAATGCACACACACACACACAAAAATACAACAAGGATCTGCTTCGTGTTGTGAGGCTTTGACACACTTTTCATGCCTGATGGCATTACACTTCTGTGTGATTTGACATAACCCTGGTCTACCCCAGCATATGTGAAGTCAGTCTTGTGTCCTCAAAAGCTGTAAGCACAGAACTACGGATAGATAATAATTTTAACATTCAAAAAAAGAGACCTCTTTAATGAATGGTACATTATCCACATGTAAGCAAATACAAGGATGTCAAATAAAAATAATTGCCTTGTGATTTTTCAACTAAGGACCATGGATAATACTCATCTACTTGACAGGGATGTGTATGAATGTGTTGAAGACTACAAACATCTCTAAATATTTTCTCTTTTAATGAAAAATCCCATAGTATAAATTCAGACCATTTGTTAACTGAATTCCTAATAGTTTAATTATACACAAATTTATATGTGTATTTTTATATTTATATTTTTATACATAGGTCACTCAAAACTTGTCCACTTAAACTGACTTCTACCTCACAAGAAACTAATATTTTAGCTTAGAACATTTTCAGGGACAGATCTTCAGTCTGTAATGCTCTGTTGAGTTCACAGGAGTTCTACTGTTGTTCATCAAATGTAGATATGCCTTTGAAAGTCTCCTTATTTAAAAGCAACTGTCCTGATCTCATTTTTAGAAGATCTATTAACCAGAGCCAGGAGTGAGTGTTAATTAATGGAGCCATATTTAAAATGCTACAAACACTACTCTCTTACATATAATTTCTCTCCAGCATGCCAGATCTTTTTAGAGTTCAATGAAGTTGTAGCAGATTGTTGGTCATAAGACTGGGCCCATTTGAAGCAAGACAAGGACTATGAAATTCATCACCCACAGACACTTTGCTTAAAGTGGACCCATATTGCAAGCAGATTTCTCTGGCATTGCTCAGAGCCACTTGGAAGCAGGAGGATAGTATTGATACTGCCACTTCCACAGTCCACACCAACACTGATGACGAAGTACAGGGCTGCCCAGATCAGGTTACAGCTTTGGAGCTGGAATCCTTGGGCACTGATGTTGGGTCTGTTTTATTTTGTTTAGCTTCAGTGAATCAGTTTGGGGGTGACCCAGCTGGTGTCATTCTTCTCTGTGACAAGGAGTATGAGTCAATTGATTTGACTCCAACCCCTGCCTTGTTCTTTTTGGGCACACAAGAGCAACCCACTTTAATTCCCCAGCATGCCAGCTTCAGTGCTGTAGCTTTTATTAAAGAAGTCTTGCACCAAGATTTTCCTTATGCATAATTTCTAAAATTTACCCTTTAATTCAAACCCTTTACACCAGGAGATTCAATTTTATAACTTGTATAATGGAGCTGACCCAATTTTTAATTCAATAAAAACTTGAGATTCTGATGAAATAAATAAGAGTGTAAGTATTTAACTGTTTTTCTGATCTGCCTTAGACACTGATATCGAAGGCAAGTTGTTGGGATTACAAAGCCATCTTCTTTCCAATCTACCCAACTACCTTCCATATCATGCAGATATAGCCATAATTGACTACAGTACCAGGCTGGAAACCACCCTTTTCCCTATAGAACCTTTGCAGTCCTTGAGTTTGGTCATCCATGATGGTTAATATTTGCAGACATTACTTAATGTGACCGTATAAATCTGGACCTTCTTGCCACTGTGTTCAGACATCTGGTAGGTGGCTGCAAGGCCAGCAGTTCTGTGCCTCAGCAGCATCAGCACCCTTGTAATAGATGGTTTCCTGTATCAGATAAAGAGAGATATATGCTGCCTCTCTGACTGATACACCTCAGGGCATGAAACATCTCTCAAAACAGCTTGAAAGAAATGTAAGATCTCCAGTAAAAAAATATTCAAATATCACAAAAATGAAGAGAGATGGTCCCTCACCAGAAGTCTTGGAAAATCAAGAACTGAAAGCAGACTGCTATTTGCAAAGAAGAAGCATATCCAGAGCCTAGAGGGGCAATCAGCTCAGAATTGCCAGAGTTTAGATACCTAAAAATGCCTTTGAGGCTCAGGAGTCACTTGTTTTCAAGATACAGAAAAAGTGTACCAAAAGACCTAATAATCTAAACTCAGATAAAAAGACATAAGCAGAATGGAATAAATGGTAAATTCTAAGCATGGATATAAGATTGGCTTGATAGCATTCTTCAAGTCAATTTTTGTCTGCACTTCCTTCTGTGCATTTTAGTTATAGGGCTTCTTCCTCCACTGTCCTGCAAAAGTGCAGAATCATTTTCATTGCTGCAAAGAGCATGTTAAATCCCAGACCAGAATAGAACTTTGTGGCAATGTAAGAGACCTGTGTTTAGGCATCATTAACTCCTTTTAAAATCTGCAAGGTTTGCAGGGGGTGGGCCATGTGCACAGACAACCTTCTTAAGCTTTGGATGGGATGTGCTTGGAGAAGAAATCGTATACTAGAGAGTTAGTGGTGGGCAGCAGCAACCTCTGCTTCAATGTTTCCATTTGTACATTTTATGTAGGGAAGGGAGCTGGTGCTCACCTTGGTGGTGTGAGACATGACTGTCCCAAGTTTCTTTTCAGTGTATAGCTGCTATTCACATGCTCTGCCTTAAATTCATCAGTGTCAATGGAGCAGGGAACTTAACTTTGTGACTGCTCACACTGAATATTTTTCCTGTCCTGTTTATAAAGGCTTTGATCCTACAACCATTTGGATATTTTTGACACAGAGATTTTCTGCTGTTGCAAGGTCCTATGACAAAGCTATGTTCTTGATCTTTCCTTCTTCTTATGATACTTTCCACTTTTTGTGGAACATCTTCCCATTTGCCCTGAGCCCGAGGTGATAAGACATGTTTACAGAAGCTTATAAAATAGGTGTCATAGGGCTCTCTCATGACTGTATGTTTCCTATGCGGCTGTCTGCAGTTTCAGGCCCAGTGACTGAAATTATCTTTTGCAGCCCTGCTTGCCTCTGGGCTCTGGAGTGATTGCTGTGGTGTAAACAGCTCGTTTAAGTCATACATCCCACTGCATCACCCACTTGTGTTTGTTCATCTCTGCTATTGACCAGTCTCCAACTTGAAGCTGTCTTTGCCTGATGAAAGACTTCTCTTTGCAGTTTTTCAAGGGGGAGACGTTATTTATACCCTGTGAAGAGTTTGTCATTTGAGAGCAACTGTTGAGTGATCCAAGAATTCTTCCTTAAATCCTTTCTTGTGATAAAAACAGACTTTTAAACTTCACCTTCTGTAATGCAAAATCATAATCTAGATCTCAGAAAAGCTGCTAAAGTCATTGCTTAAAATTGCTCAGTATGAATAAAGCTTATGAGAATGTTTTTTCAAAGGGGAAGATTTTTGGTTTCAATTCAAATGTGTGGTTCTGCATTCAGTATTTGTGTATTTACTTTCTTCTCCCAAGCCTGCACTTACTCTCCTTTTAAGCCTACCATGAAAAGAAACAGCTAACACTGTAACATGCTGTGCAATATAATACAATGTGTTTCTTGCTCATCTGAAAGACACTTGGTCAGCAGCAATTGCTTCAGGCCCAAAGGTCAGAGTTTATCTGTGAATAGCCAAAGAGTGAGAAAATTTGTCAGCGTCAAAATTATTTGCTTAAGGAACTAAAAAGGGCTATTTTTTTTCCTCACCAAGAGAGGTGCAAGTTGGTAGTCAGGACAATGCCAGATTCCCCTGGCAGCAGAAAATATGGCCTGTGCCAAGTATAGCCTGAATTTTTGGATACATGTCAAATGGGACTGTTACTGTGAAAGTGGAAGTTAATTCACAGTGGCATTCAACACATGAATTGCAATTTCAGCTTGTGAGTTCTCCCCAATCTCTTCTCCTGTAGGTGGGCACAGCAAGATATATGGCCCCTGAGGTTTTGGAGTCCAGGATGAACCTGGAGAACATGGAGTCCTTCAAACAAACAGATGTGTACTCCATGGCTTTGGTCCTCTGGGAAATGACATCTCGCTGTAACGCTGTCGGAGGTAAGTGCCATCTGTTTTCTTCTCTCTAAAAGTATTTTGAGACAGACATGCTCTCATGGTTGTCTGGGGAGAGGGCAATTCTTTTTACTATCATAAGATTTTCTAGTGTATCTGGGTGCTGTAAATTAACAATCCTTCAGTAGTGTGAGATGCACAGGTGCATGAGCAGGCTTGAGCACCAAGCACTGAGCGCACAAGTAAATTGATCCTCAGTTGGTGCAAGGATAAGTTTGCTGTCAGGTAGGTCACTTCTAAAGATTATTAAAGTCTGGTTTCCCTATGACATCTTGGGTAGCCATGGACTGACTCAGTCTGGCTGATCTCATTCAAAATAATTGGAAACATAAGTCAATTTGAAATATTAAACTGAAGTGATAACTGCTTCCCATTTACTTTCATGGAATGTTAATCCTCAAACCTAACAAGGGCCAGTTAAGTGTCACATTTGCTAATTGTTAATTTTCATAAGAGGCATCATAGTGGGATAGAAAGTATCCCAAAGTCACCAGCTGCTGCACATCATGCTTTGTGATTTTGCAAGAGATCATCCATATGAGAAATCAAGGCATGTTTGCTGTATAAAGTGTAGTACCAAAATAAAAATTATTGGAACTGACTGTCAGAACAGCTCCAGGAAAAGCTGCTATGCTTGTTGATATTCAGAATTTTTTCTGAAACAAAACTCTCAATTTCTGCTTTGCCTAAAGTTGACCTGTAATTCCCAGTGTGCAGCACTGGTATGTGCTAGAAATCAGAAAAGTTGCTGTTGGGATATCTACAACACATATTGCCACATTTGAAGTTTTCCACCTTACTTCAGGAACTAAAATAAGACAAAGTTGCATATGAAATTCTTTAGCTGCCTGGAATTGTCTAAGAGTCATTCTAAAAAATGTTGCTGCACAATTCAGGGCTCACACAGGCAGTCTAAGGAGTGGGGCTGTAAAAGGTAACACTAATGTGGATACTACAGTAGATATGCAACTGTGATTTGATTTGTTATCCTTCTTCCAAAACCACAGAGGCTCCCTTGTCGTTGAACTTGGCACAGTTCCACCTTGAAGGGCTGCCACAGAAGCAGAGACAGGAGAGTCTTGCAGGCTAGAGAACTGTGCTGTGAGGAACATAGTGTACAGGAGGGAAACCAATGTCCCAGGGGAAGATGTGCATAGCTGCTCCTTGTTTCTCTACCAGCATCTGTGTGATACCACAAGGGAGGTCTCCAAAGCCACACTGCACAGTGACTGTGTGGCTGCACCACGATGTCCTTGTGCAGGAGGGAGGAATTTTCATCCATCTCAGTCTCCTGCTCTGTCTGACCAGCATTTAGTCTTGCTGGGTGGGCTGTATTGTGGGCATTGATTTACCCCTGTTTGCACCCTGCCAGGAAAGCTACAAAGTGAGTATGTGTGCTGAGTGTGCTAGCATAAAAGCATGAAAAGAGCACCAAATTCTTTTCTAGTCAAACATTTAAGGGTAAAACATTTGGTGCTTCAGGACCTGAACCACAGTCTGATATATTCCAAGGAAAACCTATCCATATCTAATGGATCATGGTCATGCCTGTTTCTAAGTGCATTGGCACAACCTCAGCCTTTCATTAGCACTTTTGTAAATGTGGCAGAGGATATTTAGAACCTGAAAAAAAGGAACTTTGCCCTGTCTCATGATCTGTCTCTGTTTCTTGCATTTAGGAACTCACCTGATTAGTATAAATAGGAGCTGTTCACTGTGGAGGCTTTCATCTTTGATGATGCCCGAGTCCCTTCCTGTTCAGATTTGCTGAGTATGGCAAAATGAAGATTGCAGCAAAAGCAAACCTTATTGCTGCTGCTCTCAAAAGGCAACTGCTAAAAGAGGATATAAAGGGAGTTTCATAAGGAAGGAAAATCACCAGCAAGTTTAGCAAGAAGAGATTGACCCATTTTAACCTTGAGAAGAGCTGAAGTCATTTCAGTAAAGGGAAATATTTCTCTTGCCCAGCATCCTCTTTCAAGGGATGATTAACCCCCACCCACATCCTGATATTCCTTATTGATTTAATCCCTCAGTCATTCTCATCTCCAGAATAACATTTCTTGAATTTTATTTCCCTATTTCAGTCATCTTTTCTGAGGTGAAGTCCCCAGCAAAACTCCAGGAGTACTAGGGCAGATCTGTAGGGGTTGGAAGTTGTGCTTAGCATCTCTGGCTAAAGCAGTTGAACACAACTCCCAGGATGTAGGTCCCTTAACTTGTCACTGGTACTGAGCTGCAACAGCAGTGCACCATTACTCTCATTTCCTTCTCAGATTTTCCCCTGGTTCAAGCAGTCTGGTTATCTTTGCAGCCAGTTGGTGAAATACCCTTACAGTGATTCATGAGTACAGCTCCCCCTCTGCTTTCTTTCTCCATCTGTCACTTGTGAGACTCCCTCCTCTCCTTGCAGCCTTCCTGAGGAGCTGCCTCTGCTCACGCAAAGCCCTCTTTTACTCCTAGACTGTTTGGCAATGAGAAAAATGTCTTTGCATGTGAGGCAGAGTAGGCTGACCTGATTGCAGACAGCCTTTTCAAAGGAGCCTAAAAGATCTAGACTCTGTCTTTGCAGGGCAGGCTTGGCTGTGGTGTCAGCTCAGGGCAGTTTTGAGGGCAAGTCTTAGCCAAGACAACAGCATTAATAACTTTATTTAGGGAGGCAAGCATGCAAGGAAGGGGGCTAATTGCCATTCAGCCACAGAGAGGTACAGGGACTTACTTCTTTTTCAAAGGAAGCTCTCAGGATTCATTTGTCAGTGTGCAGGTGTTCAGTGAGTGTGGGAGGTGATGCAGGCAGGCCCTTTCACTGCAGATGCTTTGTCAAATGCAGCCTCCACGCTATGCCAGGCCTCTTCAGTCAGCAGACATTTAAATAGAAATACCTAGCAGCATAACCCATACTGTGAAGCTGCTGTAGTAAATAAGCAGGTGGGGATCAGCTTTTGTGAAAGGCCACGCTGTTCATTGTTACTTTGTTGTGCTAAATATGGAGAAGCAGAAATGGGGCACAAGGGAAAGGTAGACAGAGGCAAAGATCGAGGTTGACTGATTTTTCACCAGAGTATAATTTAAGAGGCATATTTAGAAACTCAACAATACTACTTTGGGGAGATCTTCAACTGTTCCACACTGCTGTTAACTTGGTATTTCGTTCAGTACAACAGCTGTGCACCAGATGCTGCACGTTGCAAGAAATATAATTTTCATCTCAACCACTTGTTTCAGAGTGACACAGCTTTGGTGACTGAGACAAGTGTAATTTCTCTGACAGCCTCCTAGAAAGAAAAGAAAACCATCTGGTTTGAATCGCAACCACTATGGGTGAGGGACTGTAGGGGATGGCAGGGGAGAAGGAGGGGAAACAGAACTTTTGGATACATGGGTTTGGTGAAGAGGAAGAAGAGAAACCCCTCAGAAAATGACAATGTTGCTCAAGTAGTATCGTACTGCCTGGAGTGGTGGCTGGCTTCAGTATAATAGCCGAGCTTTTTTAAAATGGCAGCCTTGCTTTACTAGAGCTGTGTTTCATGTGAATAAAATCAGGAGTAATCTTATGTTTACTTGGAAAGAGTCAGCCAAGAGCCACAGTTTGGCAACTAAACATTTGTGCATCCTGTACCTCATGAAATGCTCGGCTTTGACCACACTGATGTGGAGCGGTGACGTTTCTGGCAGCAGGGAGCAGATGGCCTGTGCAGCAGGACTGGGCCTGGGCAGAGGGTTTTGGGGTGGCTGCAGCTGGGGGCTGATTTAAATTTCTCCTTCTGTGAAGCAGAGCCCAGTCAGGGCATGTCTGCACTGCACTGGCTTGTAGTGCATACAACCCTGGTTGATAGATCCGCACAGTGCAGCATCACCCCATGACAGGCACCCATGTCCTGGAAATTCTCCAAGTGTCCCCACAGTGCTATAGGTAGCAAGTGGTGCTCTTCAACAAGCCCATGTGCAGTGGATAAGGTCACTGCACCACACCCCATGCTGAGCACTGATGTGCTCTGTGTTTGCTACTTTCCCACCTCAGGATTCACTGGGCAATTGACTGAGCAGCCCCTAAGCCGGCACTGAAGGCAGGGCTCATGCACTCCCCAAACCTATAGAAGGATGACTGTGTCTTTGATCATCAGATGTGAAGTCACTTAAGAGATGTGTGTGCACAATGAGTTCACTCATCACAATGCATCCTTCCCTCAGCAGGGAAACCTAGAGAAATTTATGAAGTAAGCATTTGACAGCATCTTAAACTTGGCCATGAAACAGCTTTTGGGCCTCTGCTTTGGGCATTATTTTCCCTTTGTGCAACTAATGCGAATTAGCAGATTCACTACCCAAATTCCTCTAGCATGAAGCAAGACACTATCTGAAGGACTCTACCTGTGTTTGCATGAGCTGTCACATTAGCTCCATCACTATTTGATTTATCCCTTCTTCCCCCTCATAAGCTCATAAAGGGGCATTTCAAAGGGACCCAGAAGTTCCCAAACACAAGCTCACTGCTGTGGACTGTGCCTCATAGTTGACTTCTGCTGGCCTTGCACCCCACTCCTGCTTTGATTCTGCATATAAAACATCATCCAGCATAAGAAGTAGTCCCACAGAAATCAGTAGGACAGATCACATAAGGGAGTGTCAACAAGGTTTGTGGTATGCTCTTCTGACCCAAAGAAAATTTCACTGCAGAAAGCTTAGAGTAGAAAAAGACCACAAGCGAGCCAAATTTTCCAAGCTTTCATCACACACAACAAATAGATTTGCAGTAATATCGCTGTTTGGAGTTAAAAATCCAATTCCAGCCTTTCTGAAAACTATAGCTAGGCAAATGTCAAAAGAAACTAAAGGTACAGCAGTTAGTAGTGCAAGTCAGCTCTCAACCATAAAGATTAAATGCTGGAGGTTAAAGTTGAAGGAAGTCTGCCATTTTTGAATGCTAAAGGTTCTGTGGTTTGTGGTTCCTGACATATTTATGGTATTTCATCCAGTTGTAATTTTTGGTGCCCAACTGGTCTAAAATCAGTGAAAAGAAACATATAAGGCATGAGAAATAGAATCAAGCATCTGTATACAGCCACACACAGGCATGTAGCCACAAACATCTTAACCTATCTCAAACTGACATCTGTTACAGCTACTGCAGCAGGTAAACATGATCCATGAATAATACCAGTTATTACTGCAAAATGCATCTGACATTTGAGATTCCACAGCATTAGGATGACTTACTGCATGAGGATTTAGTGGGCTTTTTTTTACTTTCCAAGGAAAAGAGAAGCATGATAATAAATAGCAAGGAAATGCCACATGCTTTTCAAATTGAGGGAAGGCATGACTGTATTGGTAGTAAGTCATTACAGTGAATTGGCATCTGGCCTAAATTTCTTTTTCTTTACCATAAACAAAAATAAAGCAACAACAAAAATTCCAAACCTGAAGAATCTATTCAAACTTTATATTTGGAAGACGAATGGTCATAACTTACAAACAATTTCTCAAATAGAAAAAATGTATTATGAACCTATCAATTCCCAGGAAAAGTTTTCCCTTCTCCCGCTTAAACCATCTCATTAACTTGAACAACCTTGAGACTAAATTAGAGAGGGAACAACAAGAGCACCAGATTCCCTCTGTTGGACATTGAGACTCTTCTGACTCCTCACCCTGCAAGATCGCAGAACCTTGGCTGGTGTCCATGAACACTACCTCAACTGAACCCTGACTGATGGTGCAGGAAATGGCCATCAAGGTCATGTGATTTAAATTCTCTTGGTGAACTTTAATATTTTGTTAGCTTTGAACATATAGGTATGTGCAGTATAATCATTGTGCATCCGCTGCATGCTAACCCAGGTCTGACTAGCAACATGACAACTTCCCAATTAATTTCTACGGCTAAAGTCTTGTAAATTTACTTTGACTGAATCATCTCAGACTCAGATTAATGTGGGTGAAACTGGTTTGCATTCTTGTACAGGAAAGAAAGCAAAGCAGACTTTGGCCCTTGGGTCTTAGAAGATGGGAGTTTTTGTTTCTGGACTATAGCCATTCTCCAGAGCATCTTGTGGAAAGTGGCCAGAAGCAAATGGCTATAGAGAAGGAAGAAGAGCTCTGCAGGAGGCATCTCTGGGGTGATCTGCTGCACTGTACACAGTTGTTTGCAGCTGAATCTAAATGCTGAGCATTTGAAGCACAAGGTTTAATATCCCTTCCAAAATGTTTGTTATTGTAACTTGGCTATTCTTTTTAAGCAGTAGCCTGATAAAGTCTTCATCCCATGGCCATCACATACAAGTGAGATCTACAGCCTGACTTCAAAGCTTTGGAGAAAAATCCAAAGATAGCTGTCTTCAATATTACCTTGTTTTTATCATGAGACATGACAGGAGGATCTGACCTGTTTTATCTGATCATTAGTTATTTTCAGTAGCATATAATATGACCCCATCCTTACCTTTCTCTCCCAAAGTAAGCAAACCCAAGTGTTAGATATTCATCCCATTTTTTCTGGGCCTTTAATCTTTATTCACATTTCTAGTCACTTTTTAGCCCTTTGGAGTGAGCAACACTGGGCACTGCAGTTGAACTTGGTTGTAGCATCATGCAGCAGTGATTTGTCTCTCTGTTCACACATCATCTGGGCATTCACATGCATTCTCCAGACTGCTTTGTAGATTATACTTCAGTTTTTCTTGCCCTCAATTAATTCCTACAAATATGAGGCAGCAGAACAGACCAACTTCATAAATCTTTATCTGATAGCAGCAAGTCATTAGGCCTGTGAGTAAAGTCTCCATCTGTTCCCAAAGAAACCACAGCATTTTCTACACTGTGTCAGCATCTACTATAATATTTCCGCTCTCAGAGATTTCTTGAGTTTTCTCCAAAGGTCCCATATGTTTGCCTCTTCCTTTCTCTCTCCAAAGAAAAGCAAAGAAAATATGCAACATGCAAACAAAACCTAGAGTGGCAGCAGTCCCTTCAGAAAGCTGTGCCCCTGTATCACTGGCCAAAACAGATCCATTTTTAGAAAATCTAAAATAAGAGCAGACTACTACTTTCTACAAAAGAATGCAGCTTAGGAGTAAACAAGGGCAAATGTGTACTATTTCTCCTTAACTATATCTTTGCCCTTTCCAAGCAACTGTTTCATCATAGCAATCCACACCTTCACATCTACCATGACCTAGATAGATTTCAGTTTATATTTCACTTGATAAGTGTGTGCGGACTCCAGGAGAGCTAAGGGTGACCATCTGTTCAAAAGCTTGGCTCATGCAAAACTCACCTTAAACCTCCTGTGCGTTTTAGCTCAGCAGAGATTGAAAGGCTCACAAACCATTATAGATTACTCTGCTTCTTGGACTGTTGCTAATATTATTATGTACTAAAGGGTTTAAATGAGAATTGTTTTGTTGGCTCTGAAACAAAAGGGGAGGGAGTGAGTGTGCGTGAGAAACACATTTGAAACATTGAAAATGCCAACTGGCTTTGCTTTGTTTGGAGCTGGTCAAGCAGAACAGTGGCAGCGAGCAGCTAATCAGTAGCTCCTATTCCTCAGAGAACAGCCAGCTCCCTTTACTCTTGGCACTAGCACAGCCCAGCTAAATACCCTGTGTTTTCTTCTTTCCCAGAAGTGAAAGAGTACGAGCCCCCATTTGGCTCCAAAGTGCGAGAACACCCTTGTGTGGAAAGCATGAAGGACAATGTCCTGAGAGACAGAGGGCGACCTGAGATCCCCAGCTCCTGGCTTAACCATCAGGTAAGAGCACTACACGTAGGTAGTGGGAGCTTCACTGTACATTTAGCTACTGCCTGAAGCCTGAGCCTTACCTCAGTGCCCTGCCCAACAGGCTGCACCTCTCTTTGCATGGAGAGGTCAGTCACACATGAAGAAACCCCATCACAGAGTGGCACTGGTGCTGACATGGCTCAGACACCATAGTTCTCTGCACTGTGCCTGCCTCAATGCCCTGGTATTCCTGCTGCACACCAGTATCATCTAAAAGCAATCAAAATAGAAACATTGGAAGCCTGAGATCCAAAAATCATCCAGAGAGCCACAGAATAGTTAGGGCATGCTGTGTGTAGGCTCTGAAAGAGCAAAGAAAACAACTTCACACATGGGCCTCTGTTGCAGGCAGAATGGGAGCTTCAGACAAAATTTATTAAAGAACCTCCTGTTGAGTCATGAGGTACAAAAAGGATCCCCTTGCTTTCTAAACTCCTTCTTAGAGAGCTGTCTAGGTGTGACTGGATTCAGTCTTAGCCCCAGATTTTGTCACCAGTTTATGTTTTAAGGATTATATAGATGCAATTGAACCATTATACAACTTTTTCCCACATGATTAAGCATGCCAAACCAGATATAAAAATATAAATTATTTATTATGATAATGACTAGACAAAAAGGTCTTAATCAGAGTTATGTACTACACAGTATAGGATCTGTAACTTCTCATATAGTGTGCACTATGAAGCAACCATATTAAAGCAATTGAAGCAATCATATTAAAGCAACTGTACTAAAGGTAGCAAAACCAATTATTAACTTAAGATTGATGTCAGCCACCCATGTCAACAACCTTATGCAAATCTCTTCCACTCAGCCTCAAGGAGTAACCTTGAGGGCATGGGAGTAACCTTGAGGCATTGGACTCCTCAAGGGGAGGAATCTCTACGCTCACTCCAAGAAGGGTTATGTTAGAAGACACTGTTGTTAAAAAGTGGGACTTTATACTTCCACAGTATAAAATGATTGACTGTCAGTCAGATGTCTCCAGGCCAACTCAGTCAGTTCAGCAGCTTTAGATAAGTTATTAATAGCATCACTTGTTTGTTCCTTTGTTGGGCAGTTTACCAGGTCTACTACATCTTCATCTCACTATCAAGACGTTTAGATTTGAATCAGGCCGGTTTCAGCATTATTCAACACCAAAAGCAGCATTACCCCCTTCTCCATTTATCACTGGTAGCTTTGCAAACAGGGCACTGTTCAATTTGTTTTACCCCATTTCCAGGGAGACCATCCTACTACAGAGGATCTTCAGCAGAGAAAGCAAATCTCAGTACTTTACCATGGAAACCAGTCATAGTTGTATCCCAGCTGTTGACAGATTTAAGGAAATATGAAATTAGTCTTCAGCAAACCAGTCTGGTTTTATTCAGGTTGTGCATTAGCAGACCGTTTCCCTTGCATATCACAAAACACTTTGTCAGATTCCTCCATTCACAAGCACTTCCTAGGCAATAGTAGATTTTTCAGTAGATGAAACTGAATGGAAACAAGCCAAACACATGCATTTCTTCACCTTTGCTCTCAGTAGTTTTATCAGTAGAGATAAAATGTGAATCATATCAGAGAAGTGAGACTTGGTCATTCCAATTCTCAATGAAATATGCTGAGTGGTCTTTAGTGACAAAAGGAAAGCATCACAAACATTTATAAAAGCCTAGGCAACCAAGACGATCATCTACTGTTTCCATCAGCAGAAATGTAGCACTCCCTTTTTAATTCCACTTGGGAAGGTAAAAATCAGTCAGACAGCTACTTAAAAAAGACCAAGTGAGTGACTAAAATCAATCATCTTTTCAAGCAAGAACACCTGCTACCTGATGACTGTGGCAGAATGCAGCCCCTTCATGGATTTCAGAGACTTGCTCCTTACATACTCAGCTGTGAAGAGTAGGGTTATTGAGGAGGGGCTTTTCACGAGGGAAGAAAGTTGTATTTTGAGGGACACCTGGATATCTGATACTACCAGCACTAAAAGCCCTTCACAGCAAGGCTGTGTGGAGAGTTGCAGCTTGAGGCACTGGGGTAGAACTGTAGGATACACTGTGGATTTCATCACCTCTGGGTTTATAAAGCATGTAAAATGATCATGGATTTGGACCTAGATGTTCTGCATTTGACTTCAGAGATTTCTTCCCTATGTAAAACCCACCCCTCAATCTTCCCCCAGCACAGAGCACCCCACCAACTGGGAGGGCTATACACTTGTGCTTGTGTGTCACCAGAATGGGCACAGCTGGCCCCAGCGGGGCTCAGCTGAGTTTAAAGAAGGAGATGGATGCCTGATAGCACGCTTAGAGGACATTTAATGAAGGTGGATTTAATTCCCTTTGCCTTAATCCCTCCCTTCAGTGTTTCACATTGTGCTGTCTAAGATGCATGAGTTTCTGCAGGGCTGTGACAGTTTGCAGCAGCTGAGGATCTGCTTTGAACTCCATAGAAGTTGCTCATACTGTAATGGCTCTTCCATATTCATTTCCTTCCTCTGCAGTTGTGTTTTTGTAATTAACTCATTATTCATCATGATAAAATTCTGGAATGGATTTACATATTACAATTACCCCCACACCCCCCTTAATGAGATTTGTTGCACTATTGATTTCAAGTTAATGTTTAATATTTAATTTAATTTACTGCTTGTAATTTCAATGCCAGCAGAAAACTAATGTTATTTGTATACAGACAGTAACATTCTGCTATTAACATTGACATCAGTCAACATCACCAATTAGGTAAATTATACAATTAATGCAGTGTTGTGAAACGTTATTTTTAAAAAAAGTTTAAGATAAATCCTACTTAATGGGCTTTTAGTGTCATAAAGCAAAACACAGTTTCCTGGCAAATACTTCATGTTTATAAAATTCATTACAGAGATTCAACTGATGCAACATTTGCATCAGAACTGAAATGAAGGTTAAACAAGCTACAACTGTCAGTGATGTGCTTAAATGTTTGTGGGACTGTGGCCCATATTTGCACATAGATTTAGATAGTCTATAAGGAATTCATAAAGAGCTGATGTACAGCCCAATATTGCTGGCAATCAGAATTTTGTTTGAAAAACCCAAGCAGAATTCAGGCATGCAAAGGCATGGGTTGAGCAGGAGGTCATATTATCCAAGAATTTTGATCATATCTATTAAACAAAAAACCCTGCTTGATTCTATAGCACTAGTCTGAAGCATCGCTACTCTTGTTATAACATATCAGACCACATGCCCAGAAATGACAGGACCAACTAAAGTGCTGAAAATATTGTAGTAGGGTTTCCTTAAAACAAAAAGAAAACAATGCCCCCATGACAGAAGCAGCAGATCCCATAAAGAACCCCCAGGACACACATGAAATAACCCCCAAAATTCTGAGGGCACTGAAGCAGCTCTCTGAGAGAGGCTTTGCTGGCGGCTGGCCCCCTGACGGCTGCTCTCTGTGCTCCCTGCAGGGCATCCAGATGGTGTGTGAAACCCTCATTGAGTGCTGGGACCACGACCCCGAGGCCCGACTGACGGCGCAGTGCGTGGCCGAGCGCTTCAGCGAGCTCAAGCACCACGACCGGCTCTCAGGGAGGAGCTGCTCGGAGGAGAAGATTCCCGAAGACGGCTCCGTGACCACTGCGAAGTAGCGCGTGCCCAAGAGCTCCGGAACGGAGGGAAGGCGCTCCTAGACGTGTTCACCTTGGCAAAGGAAGAAGTCTTGATCAGTGCCTTGACTTGCTTCCTGGAGGACTGAGGCTGTCACTACTCCCTTTAGGCTCCAGCTCTGGACAGGGAGATGTATTCTGGGAATTAAAAGCTGGGGGAGTAGCAGTCATACCCTAGCACTGGCGGCCAGCATCATGTCGTAGGAGGAGCTATATATGGTAGCACTTCCTCAGGAAAAGGATTTGAAAATAGCCAATAACATTATGCACTTTATTAATGCCTGTATATAACTATGAAATTGCTATTTTTATATATATATATATATATATATATATACATATATATATATATAAAATGTGTGTGTATGTGTATATATATATATCTATCTATATATCTATAAACAGCCATGTCCTGGGAAAAGAAAAGTTATTAAAAAAAAGTGCTTCCAGGAAATTACCAGTGCATTAGAAATCCCACCACTTAGGGAAGGAGCCTGGGGAGACTGGTATAGCACCACACCAGCAATTGTGCACTAAGCATTCTGCCAAAAAATAGGAATAATATACAATAAGAAGATGATTTTCAAAGCATGTGCTGTGACCACCTGGCTGTCGTCCTGCTGTTCGCAGTTGCAGGAGCAGTCTCACAGCAGACAGGCCAAGTTGACTTTGCTGTTGCACTTGCATAGTCTTGTCTGCAGCACATTGTGGAAGGTTCAGAAATGCCTTTTCCCTCTCATCTTAACCCCAGAATCTTCAAAGTGTTCCAGAACAGGCATGTGAGGAGGTTTGGTCCTTCCCACATGTGCCCTTTGTTATCGAGTTCATTAGTGTTGTACGTTTATTGCTTTGAATTCATGCAGCTTGCAAACAGGTTGCAAAATATCAGCAGAATGAGTTTTCCCCTCCTCCCATCCCCACCACCAAACCACACAGATCAGGACAGGGCCAACAACAATACAAGCAGATGTTTTATATTTGCTGTGCATTCTGAGTGTGGGCAGTACTATTTTTTTCCCCTGTCTTTTACCTCGACTGTGTTGCTATAAGAACAAGGAATTTTTTCCCCTGTACAGTGTGTCTAATTGCTAGGCAAACCACAGTGTGACTGTTCTATGCTTTCTAAAGTAAGAGGCAACAGCTATTGCCTTTATTTTTGCAAAAATACCTTGGAGGTGAGGGAAAGCTCTATAGCAATAGGTTAATGGCATATCCTGCCCTCAGCAACACTGCCTCAGCAAGTCAGCAACCCACAGAATTAAAAAAAAAAAAA